ATATATTTACAGTAGGAAATTTACAAAATATATTCATGGAACGTGATCTTTACTTAATATCCTAATGATTTTTGGCATAAAAGAAAAATCAATAATGTTGACCCATACAATGTATTTTTGGCTATTGCTACAAATATACGCCAGCGACTTAAGACTGGTTTTGTGGTCCAGGGTCACATATGAAAATATATTTCAGCTCTACCTGCATAAATGACTGAAAAATACTTGAAAAATGTTGGATTGTTAATAGCGAAATCTCTTAATATCCATGATCTGGAAAAAAAATCAAATTTATATTATTTAAATGGAAAAAAAGTCTTATTTGTTATCCAAACAGAGCAGTTTAATAATGAAAGTTTTTTGCGTAGTGTGGTGCTTGTCTTGCTGTTTCCCATGTGCTGGTTATTAAAATCAGCTTGAAGAGGAGAAATACTGTTTTACACTGTTTTGTGTGTTTATGCTGTAAACACACACATTCTGTCTTTCCATCTGAAAGAGTGTGTTCAAATGATCTGTAGGTGCCTTTGTACTGTATTTTTGTGTTGGCATGTTTGTATTGTGTAGTGGCAATATTTTTTTACTATGTTTTCAGTTTGATGTAAAATATCAGTAAGTATGTGTTTGCTTTAGAAGTTCAGTGTGATTTTAAACAATAAATTCATGAAAAATAAGTTAGACTCAATGGAAAGTTATTTCAGCTCGATTTCTTTGAAGTGGTTTTTTTTTTTTTTTAAATAAGTTATTATTTCCCTCATACATACAGATGACTGTACAGTTTACAATCGTTTAACTGGATAAAAAGTCCTCATTCACGGTTCTGATTTTCCATCCCAGAAAACATCACAGCTCACATTTACAGAGAATCCTCCTTCGCAAGCCCAGTTCTAAACAAAGCAAAATATTAAAGCAAAATACATACAAAACCTAAACTCTGTAATCTGTTTTTTTTTTTTTATCTAATAAGGGAAACAAGGAAATATATTGTGCCAGTCTTTTCCCTCATACACAAAACCACACACACACTCAGGTTTGTGTATTAGCAGAGAAGCATGCGTTCTAGTTCAGCACATTATTTACAGCCATTTACATTTTGGTCATACAAAAGGAAAACAAATAGTTAAATACAAACACTGTTGTACAGTAAGCAGTATTCCAGGTCAACTCTGAGTGCACCTCATATAACTTTAAAACACTGCAAAAAAGACCTGCTCTTTTTCAACAGCAGTTGAACATTGATTAGTAAAGCAAGATCCAGTGAGTGAATCTGACTTGCCACAGTCTTCCCATAATATGCCACCAAGACATCCGTAAAAAAAAAAGTACCTGACCTACCAATAGTATGTTACTGGTGAAACATGACACAGGCTTTGACATCAAGTCAGGTTTCCCATATCTGAAAGGAAGTACTCACAGTTTTAAACAAACAGGGAAAACGTTCTGAAGGCATGTTTCAGTGCACAAATAAACTCTCAAAACATAATGAATGAGAGCATGTGGATTCTGAGGCTGCAAAAAAGTTTTCCCCACGCCTACTTCCCATGAGAAAAGTTTCTTTGGAAAAGACAATTTCCGCTTTAGTGGTGTGACTACTATAGAGCAAGTTAATTAACGGCTGACCACCTGAATGCTACTTCCCTTGAGCAGATGTGAAATTATTAACCAAACACTACAGATATTTGCATTGCGTTAAAAGTAGCGATCCTGTTGATATTTGTAACCTGTTGACAAAAAATAAAAATGCCCAAAAAAAGTCTAAAAATATTTCACATTGCTGAGTGCATGTCAACTCAAGGCAAACTGAAAACACAATTGCATTGAAATTTATGTGTATACATATATATATATTTATACAAACATAACTTAAAATATTAAATTAGTTTTTTGCTTTAGCAATATTGATCTGGAATATTTTAGGTACATTTTCAACTTGAGACACAGCAAGATTCTCCGGGATTATTACTGATCTGAGTGAGGACATTAGTGGGGATGTCTGGTGCAGGGGCCATGCTCAGCAATGTGTTCATGACTGGCATTGAGCAGCCACCCTCTCATGAAGGTACAGAAAAGTAGAAGGTTGGTGTACAGCAGTTACACAGGCCTACTATAACTCCAATGGGTCCTGATACTTCCATTTTTGTGTCCAGAGCAAATATAGATGCATTTGATTTGTACATGCTAGAATCACTAGATTCACATCGGTGAAATTCACCTTGAGAGGTCTGTATTTTCATTATCAAGATATGGGACGTAAAACGAAGAGATAAGTTGGTCAACATGTTAGATATTCCTCGAGAATGTTCTAATAAATCTTGCACACTGACTCTTTATTCTTACACATTAGACTCCACAAAGGGTCTCTTTGGTTTAATGGGTGAGGTTGGGCCTTGCCTTTCATTTCGAGACATCTGCCTAAACTCATTGTCCTGGTAGGCCTGGGAAACTGGCAGAGTCCGTGCCACTTTCACATCTGGGTATGTGGGAATCTGGCTAACTCGACCCATAGCATCCGCCCGGTCCCGCGTCACACCAGGGGAGTTGATGTAGAAATCGTCATCCATGAGGTGACCATTGTGAGCATTGTTGGTGCGGTTGTAGTACGCAATATGGCTGAGGGGTGCTGCTTGCTGCCCGTAGCCCATGTTGCTAGGGGAGGTGGCTGGACTGTTCACCACCGTATCCAGTGAAGAAACGGTCCATGGTCGAGAACCCGAAGAGGATGATGCAAACGAAGGCTGCTGCTGAAGGTACTGCTGAGTCCGTGCGGTCTTGTCAATAATGCCCATGAAAGGCGTGGCGCGGGAGCGAAGCGCTTCTCCTGGATATGTTCCACCAACCACCCCGTAGTCTGTGCCTTGTGGGGGTGACTCTGGTGAAAGGTCATCATGGTAGCTGCCTTCATAGGAAAGCTTTAGAGGGATCTCCATTTGCTGCGCAGAAGCTGACGGCCTGAACCCTGGGCCTAGGTTAGCAGCGGAACCTGCCACCAAACTGTTGCTGGATGGAGAGAAGCGCAGACCCGTACTGTGGGAGTGAATAAGGGGGCGTGGAGCTGGTGGGTGCTGTTTGGTTTCAGCACTATTTGCACTAACTGGACGCCGGTGGGCTTGAAGGTTCTCTGGTGAACCCAGAGTCACCTGTCGCTCCATTTCATGAGGCGAGACTGGATAGTAGGCGGTTGACTGACTGCGGCTGATCTGTGGTGTCTGAGCGTAACGGACTCCTCCGGGATTGGGTCTGTAAGCAGAGGAGGGCCTCTGGGGAAGCTCGTCCTCCACAAGGCCAGGATCCATGCTGATGGCACGCTGGTACAAGGCCCCTGCACTCAGACTGCCCTGAGGTTGAAGTGAGGAAGAGTACCCTCCATCCCCAAGTTCATCCATGTCTCCTGGGCAGCGGGCGCTCATCGAGTGAGCAATCTGACTGTATGCACTACTACCCAGTATGGCACTGGAGTGTACCGCAGTGCTGGGCTGGTTGGTTCGGACGATCTGTGCCTTGGCTGGCTGCAACCACTGGGTCTGTTGTGACGGCTGGGAAGTCTGTTGGGAAAATTGGAAAGAACGTTGGCTGCTCATCTTGGACAGAGGGGACTTGGGTCGCCCTGCAAGCTGGTCTTGCTGGTACCATCCTGCAGAGGCGGACTGGTGACGGTACATGGCGACTCCCTCAGAGGTAGGGCTGGCGCGATACTGTGGTCCACGGCGTAATGGTGATGGCGGTGGGCTGAAGTGGTAGGAAGCCTGATGAGGGGGACTGGGCCGAAAGTGCGAGCTCTGGTGCGTTGGTGAGAGCGATGGAGAAGAGGATTGGTAGCCTTGCCTAGTAGGAGAGGACATTGAAGGGGGACTGGGGCGAAGGTCATACGCTTGGCCCAAGTAGGGTGAATCATGATGGCTCGGAGATGGAGGCATGTTTTGAATGACAGGAAGTCCCGATAGTATAGTGTGGGGCTCAGCAGGAACACCAAGCGGTAGGCCATCTAAATCCCGCTCAAGGTAATCATCATCCTCCTCCTCAAACAAGTCCTGGACTGGCTCCATGTCTGAAATATGGGGCTTCATTGGAGGCGGCGGGACCATGGATGGGGCTTGATCACGGGGAGGGGAAGGAGGCGGATCCAGATCCTGTTGTTGTTCAACCTGATGACACTCTTCTTCTACACGTTGCAGCAGGCGCTGGATCTCACGGTTATTGGGACATAGATGCACAGCTTCACTCAGGTCCTCCAGGGCTGCGTGGAATTGCCTATAGTGAGGGAGACCAAGAATGAGAGAGAGTAATAAGATGGAATATGGCAGTATGAAAAGAGAAATAAAGAAATATGCTTGTTAACAAAGTAACTTGCTGGTAAAGTCTAAGAAATGACTATTGCTAAAGAAATATTCAGAGTTCAATGCAAGTCAATTGATTTTTTTTCTTTTCTGATTTTTCGTTCTTCTGGGATACCCTCAGACTTTAATTGAAACATCAAAGTTAACTAACTTGTATTGAACCCGGAACATTTCTTTAGTAATTTTACCTATCAATCAAAATCATTGACCCAAAAAACCTCTGGTTTTCCAAAACCAAGCAAGTTGATATAAGTGTTCTGGGCACAGAGAGTCAAAGTAAACAAAATCGTGGGGAGAAGAAAAAGAATAAAATATGAATGATGGACATTCTGAGGAAAATTAATCTGATTGGTCAACAAAACATGAAGTATGAAGAACAGGTCTAATCCTGCTGTTGACATCTGATGATGCAGAAGTCAAGGGGCTTAAATTGACTTCTACCTTGAAACTCTAGCATAGAACTACGTCAACCAATCGAAATATATTCGGCCAGTTTGGGTCATCTGTCAGCACTTAATCTGTGCTAGAGACAGAATGTGTTTTAAAGGCTGTCCTGCCTGTTGGTTGCTACGGTTACCTGCTGCTGCGCTTGGCACGGGCTCGTGCGTAATAGGCTTCATAGGATTTGGGTTTCAACTCTAGTGCCTTGGAGGCAAACTCCTCCGCCATCCCAAAGTCCTGCAAGCAACAACAGGACCAACAGTCATACACTGAGCCGGTCAGAGGGAGGACACACACACATATGTGCATGCAGACATGTGCACAAACACACACACACACACACACACACAGACTCTTACATCACTTATGCACACACACTCTGGTTGAACATGAACATGTCACATTTATATGAGGATGTGAACACTGATTATTACAAAAATAAACACCAAAATACACATATTTTGAGCACCATTAGTGCAAACATGATAAACAGACATACAATAATGGAAATGCTTGTACACACTTATAAAATGTATTGACACACATACAAATAAATATATGCTTTACAGGGACAGTGGGAAGATGCAGTGTGACAGCTCAAACCTCTTCCTGTACTAAACCTAGCAATTAAACAAATCCAACAAATGTCAGAAAAACCCGATGAACCAACAAATCGAACTGAAACAAGGATGAGAGTATGATGGGAAGAAAAACTATACAGCATGAGCCAAGTGTATTGGGAGATTTCAAGAGGATTTCTCCATCCAGAGGATGGAGGTTTGAAAATCCAAACTCAAAAAGTTATTTGGGTGATATCAAAATGAGAAATAATGTAGCCATAAAGGAGAAAAAATGGGAAGATCAAAATATCTCTTAATACACCAATACTGTCTTTACAATCCTTGTTCTGCAACTGCTTTGGTCTTAAGTGTTTTCAAAAGCAATTAAGAACACAGGCCAAACGCAAAACTAATATATGCAGTTTGTTGGTTAGGTAGTTGCCGTTGCATGGATGCTTGTAAACAAGGAGATTTACAGCATACTTGCTGCTAGTGGTTGAAAGTCAATTTCTACAGGGTGGTCAGTGGCTAATTTAATACAGATATCATGGACTTTAGTTAGGGTAGACACCATATTTAATTTTACAGTAAAGTGTACAGTGTTGCAATGCCTTAAGTCACTTCACTTTTTCCATATCAAAGTATTTAAATATCAAATGTAACATTTTCATGATATACAAATTTTTCATTTATGATAAATATGCTGTCTACCCTTAATAAGGCATACCACAAATATTGTCTAATACTGTATATAATTATACATAATTAGATTTTAAAAAATAACAAACATATATAATTGCTAAAAAGTAATAAAAATGAATATACAATTCAAAAATATATTTGAATAATTCACTGAATAAAAATGGTTAAATATAAAACAGAAAAATGTTCATTCATAGAATTATCTCATTGAAATATTATGTTGACAACGCTGTTTTTAGCACAAGGCCAACCAGACACAGTTATCAGTGGATGAGTCCCATAACTCGAGGAATGACCAACAGGTTAAAAGTCAAAAAGTTTATATGAGGTGACCGATCTAAATTATTGTGGTCAGGGCAATCTCAATGCTTAATCATAACGTCTCTACGAGTAAAGAGAGTCAGAAAGAGGAAAGCTTTATGAAACCGAGTGCTTTGGACTCACGTTCATTTTCCTGCGGCAACGGGAGAGGTTGAGCAGCAGAGAAACTTTGAGCTCACGGAAGGTCTTCAGGTCCTCTGTGAAACCCTCTCGTGGGAACTTCTTCAGGGCATACTGGTACCGTTGGGCGGCTTCTTTCACCTTTCCTTTCTGGGTCAGCAAGACATTCTTACTTTCGAGTTTGTTCATAATATAATATTTGTTTATGATATAGTACAGTTTAATAAAAACAAATGCAATACAACACAAAACTATACTATATATATATACAGTATATATATATACACACACACACTCCTTTGACTGAATATTCAAAATGACGCTCACCTTGTAGAATCCATCTCCTTCCTCTATCAGTTTGCTCAACAGAACGATCATAATATCAGGTTTTGATGTGGCCATTGCCCATGTTGCAGGACCTGAGTGCAAAACAAGGGGCAAAGCAAAGAGTCAGCACAGATTGACAGTCTGTATGGGCAAAAACTATCTTGCTAATCTCAGAGGAACACAAAGGAATGAGCAGGCTGCCAGAATATCTTGCTTAAAAGGAGGCAAAGTCTATGAACAACTTTTGGATATCACAAAAAAAAAAAAAAAAAAAAAAAAAATTCACGAGCAGCTTGGCTGTTTATACCTTGCCGAAATTGAAATCTGTTTATACTGGCAATAAAAACATTGAGTCCAACAGCTACTGAACTTGCAGTCAGCATGTTTTAGCTCTCTGTGGAGAGCCTGAACAGAGGTCATGTGCTTCTACTGGTTTGGACTGAATGTATAGTGGAGGGAGGGTGGGAATAAGAGATTGACAGTGGTCTATTAGAGCTGTAGATTTCGCCATGGGCAGCCAGTTGCAGTATGCAGACAGGCAGTGATTTAGTACAATTCATGCAAGGAGTAGTCGAGAACACGCTAAGACGCACAGGATCAGGTACCAAACTGGCCAACAGCCCGAAAAAGCCAAACTGACGGCAACTGTGGAAAAAACGAAGGCATTTGTTCACACAGGATGCATTCTTGCATTCAAAAACAACTAGACGCAATACAGAATTGCAGCACAACAGAACCGGACAGTACTCCGATATCTCAAGACGCGTATTTAACTTTATACAGCATCTTCAAAGTCTGAGCTAATGGCACAAGGTGCTAAAAATCAGCAAGATGAGTTGCAACAATCAAAGATGTCCACTGTAATACAGCAGAGAATCCAGGAGAACAGAACAGAAAGCAGCCGTCTTGAGATGCTTTTTAAAACTACAGCATCTTAAAAATGTGACGTTCATGCCACAAGATGCTGAAAATGAGCACAAAGGTCAAAGACGTCTATGCCATTGTGGCATTGCAACAGAATAGAACAATGACGGTTTCATGAGCAGCATCTTAAAAGTCAACGCTAATGGCGCAAATAGCTGCATTGCAATGTTGAAAGGAGTCCATTATAATACAACATCACAAAGGAATTGAACAAAACGCAGGCATCTCAAGATGATTTTTTAAAATGCGTCTTAAAATGCGATGCCAATGGCACAAGATGCTGCAAAACAAGCATCGCAACATTGAAGATGTCCATTGCAATACGACCGCGCGACAGACTACAACCAAATGCAGGCATCTCGAGATTAGTTTTTAATTTCTTTCAATTTAACGCAGCATATTAAATGTAACACTAATGACATAAGATGCAGCAAAAACAGCAAGAAGCATCACTACAATGAAAGACATCCATCGCAATATGACAGCAAAATGGAATAGAACTAAATGAAGCTATCTCGAGATGAGTTTTTAACTTTTAACTTGATACATCATATTAAAATGTGGTGCTAATGGCACAAGATGCTGCAAAATAAGCATCACAGCACTGAAAGACGTCTATCGCAATATGACAGCCAATGGAAAAAAAACTAAACAAAAATGTAGGTATCTCATAAGTTTGTAACTTCTTTTCACTTGTTACAACATTTTAAAATACAATGTTGAAGACACTGTCAGTAGTCAAATACGACTCTATAGCACATGATTACTTAGAAAAACAGTTGCAAAACAGTGCAATAATGCATTCTGTGTTAACGCTCCCCAAAAGCGCAAAACACTCAGCATGTAGAAACATTCTGCAGCATCATGCAAAAATGCAGCACTGGTTTTCCTACATGCAGCCATGCAAGCAAAAAAGCAGACAAAATGAACAAAAAGAATCAACCATCAGAATTCTGCAATACAAAATGACACAAACTCCACCCATGTTTATGGCTGATAGCAGCTCTTTTCATTGTAGCCAAGAATGATATGAAGATTAAATGCCTTTCACATTCGGGCACCCAAAACACTAACAGACCCGATCAATGGAGAAGGGACCACACAGGTAACGAGATGGAGGGACACAGTCAAAAATGGCAGATGGGGCGCACAAAGGTCTGCGTTTTACCTCGGGCACGAGTGGGGAGTGTCTGACATCCTGGTTACGAGGAGAGAAGTGGTGGGAGGGGTCACGAGTGAAAGGGTGACAGGTTATTGGGGCAGTGAAGCATCATGGGAAGGGCATCCGTATCAGACAGGGAGCAAAGGTTTATGAAAACAAGGAGAATGTAATAGAGAGTCAAGGGAAGAGAACAAGAGAGATTGATAGTTGGTGGTTAGAGGTGAAGGAGTGACGTGAAAGGAAGAACAAGGAAGATCAGCCGTGAGAAGCCGTGGCAAGTAGCAATATTAGCAAAAGCAATAAGCCCATCCTGATCAGCTGCAGATCAGTGGAGTTCTGCAGTTCGGCAAAGAGCACACGAGAAGGAGGGTTAGACTCGCATGACTGAGCTCACAGGGAGGGACTGAGCTCTACATGTGAAGCTAATTTCATGTGATCTTCATGATAGATTCAGTGCATCTGCTGTTTATGTTTCTAATGCATTTCTTCAAGGTATAAGCATTGGAATGCATGCTGCGCTCCATTCAAATGTGAATGTGGGATAGTCCTATTGGACATGTGACACACATTACCATTCGAAAGTTTGGTGTCAGTAAGATTTTTTTTTTTTTTTTTTTTTTAAGGAAATGAATACTTTTATTCAGTAAGAATGACCTTGATGAATGTTTTCAACATTGATAATAATACAAATGTTTCTTGAGCATCGAATCATATCTGAAGGGTCATGTGACACTGATGCTGAAAATTCAGCTTTGGAAATCCAGCACTGGAATAATTACATTTTAAAACATATTCAAATAGAAAACAGTCATTTTAACTTGTAACACTACTACTACCAATATTACTACTAATAATTCACAGCATTGCTGTTGTATGGTATTTTTGATCAAATAAATGCAGCCTTGGGGAGCATAAGAGACTTCTTTCAAAAATCTCACCAAGCCTAAACTTTTGAACAGTAGTGTATATTAAGGAAACATCATATTTAAAGGAAACATCATGTTTGCTAAATGTGCTAACTTGCTTCTCCGCTTCCATCCGAGTTGGAAAAAATTTTTGAAAAAAATTCACAAAAACAATTTGCGAATAAAGCACGTGTTGATGAGAACAAAACTGACCAAAAATAGGAACAGAAACGGAAGTTATGGCCCCGAGAAAGCCACTGCGGCTCTTTTTTAAATGTGATAAATGACTTGCAGATTACAGCTTGCAGCGAAAAACACTCCTTGAACTTCATGGTTGCTAGCCATCAATGACAGATGCTTTATGTCTAGGAGCAACAGTGTGCCAGAAAAAGCTTTGGCTCCAGCATTTCAGAATGACCAAGAGAACCATGTTTTATTTTCTTCCCTGAGCAAATTATTCAGTCAAAATTATTCAGCAAGAGTTTCCAACTTGGAAGTCTAACTTGAAGCGGCATTTTATTCGATTTTTCCAAGTAGAATGCTGGCGATTCTGACTTTCCAAATTGAATGGAGTGCAGCATTACAACCCCAAATTAATTATTATACATATCCATCTTTTTTTATTTTTTACAGTAAAACAAATTGTGTGAACAGGTGTGTACAAACATTTACCTGCAATTCAACCAATGGCCAGCTCATTTTACCACAGCAAATATTTATTGTACAAGAACATAGTTTAGAAATAATTGTTTCTGTAAGAACAGATCCCCTTCCAGCCTACCTATCTTGGCTCCCTTCTTAAGCAGCGCCACCACCACTGATGTGTTCCTGCAGCCGACCGCACGATCCAGCGGACGCATGCCGCTGTAGTCCACATGCTCGATCATCGCACCATGATCCACCAGATACTGCACCTGGAACCACAACAAGACCAGAGCTGTGGTTTATTGTCTGTATATCCCCTATGTGATATCTGTTCAAAACCATTAGCATATGCATAAACATCCCATTTTGGAGATTATTTAGATGACACGCCCAGCTCAGTGCTGTTAGCCCCTCCTTGTCCATCAGAGATAATGAGGCACCTGTGAAATAAGTTAGAAAGCAGTCAGAAGGTTAGAGAGGATTGATTGACAGTGTCCTATTATTAAAATGACTGATATATCCTGCCCCTTTATATTCTAATGTATGATCAGTACAGCTGTACCTTGAGCCAGCAGGAACTCCGCCGTACCCAGATGTCCCTCAGACGCAGCCATCATTAGAGGAGTTCGTCCCTGTTTATCAGCCATGTTCACGTCAGCGCCGTGATTCAGCAACAGGTCCACTATCTGCACAACCAACACCGACATTTCAGACTAATTAAAAAAGCATGTGCAAAATAAAAAACGACTTTTGAGATGTAGGAGGCGCTCACCTGCCAGTGTCCCTGCCGCACGGCACTGAAGAGTGGCACGATGCCCCTGCGGTTGGGCTGAGCCACAGCGGCACCCTGCTCCAGTAAAAGACGACACACGTCCAGCTTCCCCCGACCTGCTGCCGCTGTCAGAGCTGAGATATTGAGAGAGTCTCTTTAGTGAGTAATCTGTGCACTCATATTTAAATGAAAACACAGAAAACAGGTTGTCTGGTGGTGTTGCACCTGTTTCACCCCACAGTGTGTCAAAGTTGTTTATCTGAGCTCGTTCCTCCTCTTCCTCATCTTTCTCGGGCAGGTCGAGCAGGTAGGATACAAGCTGTGAATAAATCAGAATTATAATCAGAATGAGGTTTATTGCCAAGTATGTGTACACACACAATGAGTTTGTCTTGGTGACAAGAGCTCAGTACAGGCATAGTACAGATACATAACGATAAAGGCAATATGACACAAGGATTAAAAAAGGCAAAAAATGTAAATATAATACAAAAATTACATATGTACAGATAAGCTATATACAGATAGATGTGCAGTTGTGACGTACGCTATGCTAAATGTATGTTGTTTTTAGTAATATATATATTTTTTTTGTTATTTGTGTGTGTATGTACATGTGTGTTTGTGTCACCCACACATTATTTTTAATATGTAATTCTAGTTAGTCTGAATTCATTTTTTAAAGTTTTCACACTGTGATTTTTAAAAATTTTAATTTAGTTTAATTTCGTTAATTTACCAAAGTTAATGTAAACTGAGATATTAATATTATTTATTTGTAATATTTTATATTGTATAATAAATATAAAATTCTATATAAAAAATAAAAAGTATATGAAAACATGAATAGATAATAATAGTAGCTAAAGAATACCATACATATTAAAATAATTTTTTTTCTGAGTTCAAAAAACACATTTATTTAAAATATAAATCTTGCATTATAATATTATTACACTGTAAATGTCATTACCAATGCTTTTGATCAATTTAATGCGCTTAATGTATCCTGAATAAAAGTATTGATTTCTTAAAAAAAAAAAAACTCTTACTTCTGTATAGCCCATACTGGCGGCTGCTATGAGGGCCTGCTGTACTGCATGGCTCTTGTTGAAGGATCCGGCCTGCTGTCCGTCTGTGTTCCACTCGCACTGCACCAGATACTTCACCACATCTAGATGACCCCGCAGACCCGCGTGGACAAGCGCACACTGACCATTCTTATCCAGGTGATCCACCTGAACAGAAACACACAGGAGAGAGAGACAGAGATGAAACTTTGACTGACAACTCAAAATCAACAGCCACTACCCTGCGTTCGTATTGGTTATACATCTCTATCTAGGCCTTGCATGGCTGACCTTGGCTTTCTTGCTGCAGAGGGTGGTGATGATGGGTAGGTGACCCGCACCGGCTGCGTAGCCAAGAGGAGTGAGTCCGCTCTCTGAAACGCCATCCACATCCGCCCCAAACTCCAACAGCAGAGTCACAGTCTCCAGGTAGCCCAGGTGAGCATGGACACACAGGATGGGGGCGTTATTCAACACCTCTGTACGATAGTTCACGTTAGCTCCGCCCATAATCAGCAGCCGAGATACCTGGAGGAAGAGAGGAAGATGGGGATATGGAGGAGTAGATGGAATAAAAAATGAAGAGTGGAAATGTTTATCAGGGTTAAAAAATTAAGAAATAAGGACATTTCCAATCAAGTTAATTATTATAGTTTACTACACTCGAAATGAACGATTTCTTACTGATAAAATATTACAGAAAAATAAGATAAAATAACTAGAAAAAAATTACACCATCATTCAAAAGTTCAGGGACATTAAGTGTTTTTTTTGTTTTTAAGAAATCAATATTTTTATTCAGCAAAGATGCATTAAATTGATCAAAAGTTAATACTTTAAATACTTAAGTATTAATACTTAATACTTTAAAAAAGTATTAATAACTTTAATAACATTAACTTAACTGTTACTAATCCCAAACTTTTTAATGGCAGCATACTGTACATTCACTGTAGAAATATCTAAGATTTTTCCAAGAATTTAAAAGATCTTCCATAAAAATAAATAAATAAATAAATTAATTAATAATAAAAAACAAACAAACAAAAAAAAACCCTACTTTTCCAAGTCTGGAAATCACTTCAAATTGAAGATATTTTCAGGTTTTCTATGACTGTGGGAATTCTGTTTTTTTTTTTATACCTTGATGTTCGGAGTGTAGAGATTTCTCAATGAAGTCAAAGCTGCAGAGAGCCCTTCAGTACTGTAGGACACCCACAGGCCCTGCAGAACTGAAGAGGAAACGCCAACCTTCTTACTCAGGCCCTGCGTCCAAGAGACAATGTAGTTAATAAAAAGACATCAATGGTAATGCAATATAAATCCATTTCAAAAGCATTTATATTCTGCTGTAGTCAAGTTTATGCTATCAATTTAGCAACGTCAAAACGTTTACAGTTGTTATAGTTAGCCTAACCTTAAAGATGTGAGCTTTGAGAATGTGGTGGCCAAGTTCGAGGGTCTGCTGTCGATTAAGCTTGCTGTCTTGCCGTGAAAACCAGAAAGCAAGCAGTGTGTGGCCACTCCTAAAGAATCATGTGAAAAGAGACAAGATGAGGGTATAAGAGATTGTAGCTATATTTCTCAGACATCGACACAATGTTCACATCCCATTTTACACTTGGATATATGACAGGAAATTTTTTTTTTACATTTTGATGACATATTCAGAAGACACTTAAGCTTCTTACCTGGGGTCGCAGAGGAACTTGGTCTTCTCTCCATCCTCTCTCCAGATGAGCCACTCTCTGAAGGAGGGGTGGATGAACATGCGCGTTCCATCACGTCTTTTCACCAGGAAAGGCGAAAGGAGTTCAGACCTCTGCTGGAAATCCTCCCAGTCCATGGCAGCTCCATGCACCATGCCGGCGTTCACGGCACTGTAGGCCTGCTCATCAGTTAACGGGTGTAGAGAAGCCACGGCCACGTTAAGCAGCGGAAGAACGCGCTCGAATGACGACTGAGTTGGGAAACGCATGTTCAGCTGCAACAGGTAAACCTCAGCCAGATTCACCGGAACCACCTGCACACAAACATCATGCTTACAGTTTTTAATAAAATCAATAAATACATGCTAAAGAGGATGAAACATATTAATCCTTTTAGACTAAAACAAATATATATACATATATTTTAAATTTTCTTTTAAATTGCAAAATCCAAAAGGGTTTCATTCACACTATTACTTTTTTCATAAAGTACAGAAGCAAAATGAACCATAAATAATTAACACCACATACAGTACATACCTATGAAAAGCTACAATAAAAATTAACAAAATAAAATAAAATCATACTAAAAAACAACAACAAAGAACAATAACTCTTAAAGCTAAAATAAAATAAATATTAAAAAAATAAAATAGCACCATTTACATCCCTGAAAATCTAAAATAACATAAAAATACATAAAGTAAAAAAACAATACAAAAATGCTTTCATTAGTTTTAATGTTTCTTTTATTTTACTTTTTAATTGAATTTTAGTTTCTAAAATTTAAATTTTAGCTAGTCACTCCTATGATGTACTAGGTAATAAAGGAGGCATCTGTGTTGATTGACCCCTGACCTTGAAGCTGGAGCTTTTGAGCACCAGGTAACCCTTCTCAATGAGGTCCAGCGTGAGCTTCAGGTAGAGATAGGAGCCCCGGCTCAGACTTTTCAGATGAGTGCTGAATTTGGCAAAGGCTGCGTTGTCTAGCTTGCCATTGAGTGCCACGTTGTTCTGGATCTCCTGGCTGGAGTGAAGCCGGTGCAGGATGTAGCCCTGCAAGTCCGAGTCAATCGCATCACTTTCCTCCAGATGGTCCAGAGAAATACGGTGGAACGGCAACAGACGAGATATATCCTGAGATGGAGAGAGAAAATGAATAAGAATAAATTGGTAAAAAAGATGGAAGTATGGATAGATGGACGGACGGAAGGAATACAGACCAGCAGTGTTGTTCTGACAGTGACCACCAGTTTAAGCCAGGGAGGGAAACGCTCAATGGTTTTGCACAGGAAGGAAACAATGGTTTCTCCGTAATCCGGTTTATGGAACTCCGCCTCATTCAACCCGTCAATCAGAATGAGGAGATTCTCATCACACGCAATCTTCCTCTCTGTAAACATCGCATGTTTTCAATATTACATACTGTATATGTCAGCATAAGAGTGTGCACGAACACGCTCACACACCTCGATGCAGGATCTCCAGAGGTTCCAGCAGGCCCCTGCGGAAAGCGTTGAAAGGGTCCTGGACGCAGGCGCGCAGGCTGAGTGTGCTCTGCAGGTGCGGCTGGCGGAGCAGCAGCTCTCGGTAGGCCTGCATCTGAGGAGCCCTGCACAACAACGCTGCCACATTATGCACAAACTCAGGGACCAGGCAGGTGTATGCGTTGTCAGCCTGACAGTAATGGTACGCCACCACCTGCACATGATATGAGAGAGCAGATATAAGCTGACAAACATTTACATTCACAGCACAGCTTGGGTTGAGACCGCACCTGTAAAACCTGATTTTAGCTTCGCTTATCAACATTCAGTTTCAGTCACTGAATTTGACTGGTACATGTTGTTGCAAGAGTGCTGATATTTCACTCGATGATGATTTAAAAACAGATTATTTCAAGAACGAAACACCATTACTGTGTTGCTCAGAGACACACAATGGTTCACTGGTGAAGCAAGAACAAGGTAACTTGAATATTATATCTGAAATACACACTACCGTTCAAAATGTTCAGTAGTGAGGGTCAGATTTTCTTTTTTTCAAAGAAATTAATAATTTTATTCGGCAAAGCGAGCAATGGCTAAAGTAAATACTTAAATTGTTACAAAAGATTTTTAATTCAAATAAATGCAGTTCTTCAAAATGTTCTATTCATTAAAGAATCCTTAAAAAAACATGTATCACAGTTTCCACAAAGCAGCACTTAACTGATTTTCAACATTGATTATAATAAGAAATGTTTCTTGAGCATTAAATCAGCATATTAGAATGATTTCTGAATGACCATGTGACACTGAAAACTGGAGTAATGATGCTGAAAATTCAGTTTTGCGTCGCAGAACTAATTACAATTTAAAATATTAAAATGTTATAATATTACAGCTTTTACTGTATTTTTAATCAAATCAATGCAGCCGTGGTGAACCTAATAGACTTCTTTCGAAAACATAAAAAAATCTTACCAACCCTAAACTTTTGAACAGTAGTGCAAGTACTTAACATTAATTTCTTCTTTATTAAACTGTTGTGTAAAAGCAATATCAACACGGCTGTAATTCAACCGTAGGTCTGTGTGATATTAATTTTGGATTTCAATTACAGACTTTGAGTGTACTTTTATAAAGGCTCAATGTTAATAGATTATCGACCATTATAAGCAACACCCTAGCATTGTGACAACAAACTTTGCACAGGCAAATACCATTCAACAAATGTAATAAAATAGTCAAATGGATTTTAATCATTTTATAATTCATTATGGGTATTTATTATTAGAGCATCAGGCACTACTTCTGTATATATGCCAAACACAAATTAGTCATACTTTTCACAGAGTAAAGGTGCCCGGAACATCTAGAGACACATGTTAAAAGTAGGTTTAGACAAAGAAATAGACAGATGGAGGACAAAAATATTTCCGGTCTCAGGGATTCAGCTCAAAAACACAATAAATATTAAAACTAGAGAAAGATTCAAAGCTCAGGAGTTTTGATGTGATGAAGGAGTTTTATTAATGCATAAAAAGATTCAAAGCTCAGGAGTTTTGATGTGATGAAGGGGTTTTATTAATGCATAAAACATTATGGAGTTTGAGTGCATCGATGGCCTTATTCCAATATTCTAAGACTGCTGCTTCCCTGGATTCACTTCATCTCGCAGTACGTGTGTGTGTGTGTGTGTGTTCAAAAGCTTGTCATCATTAGCAATGCAGACTCTGAGTATATCTAATGGCTGTGCTGGGAGACTCTGTGCATATAAATATTTGATGAGGCAACAGAGCCGCAATAAACCTTTGTGCTTAAAAGAATAGAGAGGAAAGCAAAACACAGAGAGAGTGAGAGCAAATTAATAAAAGAAGAAAGAGACAAAGGAAGAAATGGGGAGACGGAGAGATAATAAATCAATAGAAGAGAAGAGGAGTGAGGGAGATTGAATGGCAGGCTGGATATATGCCCGCCCCGTTGATTATGTTGGTATTAGTTGGCACCTGAGAAGCCAGTCTTCTGAGTGCCTCCTCCTGGCGTCTTCGCATCTCGGGCGTTCCAGGGCAGTTGCTCCCACCGACCAGAGTGCCGTGAGCGGACTGAGGCTGGTTCAAAGGCAGTGTGTCGCCATCTGAGAGGAAGACATGGCATGCATGTGATGTGAACCTTGTCACAAACTGAGACAAAATGGCATTGACATTTTAAGGGCTGAAGATATTTGTTCCCTTTAAAAAAAGACAATAAAAAATAGTTCGCCTAGGAAAGAAAAATGTCATTCAAACCTGTAGTGTATAATTTTATATTTTCTGTGATTTTTTTATTTACAAGTTTATTTATCCATAGCCATACATTTGTCTTGACAGTCTGGGATGTAATATGTATTTTACTCACCGTGACCAATGTGTGGAGTATTGTGATTCTAAAATCATAAAAATACCATATCCATAGATGCAAATTCTCATCAGTCATAGCTAATTAAATGTTTTGCAGGATTTTAATATTCAGAATTTCAAAGCGCTTACTAATAAAACTATTTATAAAAACTGTGAGATATAAGAAGTTGTTGAAGTCTTTATTATTTCTTCTTTTTATTTTGTAAAGTAAGAAAAAATATTAAACATATTCTAAAACATATTTTGATAAAATAATGTACATATCAATATAAAATACATTTTAAATCTACATTCTATATTATGAAAACAATAAAAAACAAAAACGTACTATTTTCCATTTGACATAGTTAACATGTCTGTTAAGCTTCAAAAAACACCTAAAAAGCTAGTTTTCTAAAGCCATATGAGAGTTTAATGTGATGGACTGACTGGAATTTAAGTTATTTGATGAATTAGTATGATTAGCAAATTATTTGCTCAATCTTTCAGGAAGTGCTGAATGTTTCAGGTTTGTATTTTTAGAATATAGCACAAGACTCATATTGTCTGCTTTTATGGTGTTTTTTTGTTTGTTTGTTTAGTCCTTTTTTGAGCTTGAAAGATGTGGTGTGATGGAAAAGAGCTGTCAAGTAACTCCTTTTGTGCTTCACAGACAAAATAACAGCAAACAGGTTTGAGGTCACAACACAATGGTCAATAAATAATGACTAAATTATTTGTTTTGGCTACTATACGATTTTTATTCAATCTTAAGGAAATATATTCACAGTTTAGTGATTTTCGTCTGAATGAATCCACTCACGTTTTGGTGAGGCATGTGGACTGTCAGAGGTGATCTGTCTCATGCGGTTACCGTGGCAGCTGAGAGCCACCAAGCGAGAGATGATGGCCGTCTTGCCGAAGCCCACGTTGCCAATAATAACGACACCTTGACTGGCAGTGGACTCACTGCTGCGTAGACAAGCGTCGACTTCCTGGAACAGCCATTCTCGACCGGTGAAAACCGCATCGGGTGTCAGACTGGGCACCTCGAAGAGAAGCGGCTTCAGGGCGATGTCCGGTGGCCGGTATGGAGCAAAGCGCACTGCATTGTGGGAAGCATTAGAAAATATTGCCAGTGAAACAGGTTTTATACAAACATACACATACATACTGTATATTTATCCTTCCAAAGCCTCTTTTTCGTCTTCTTACAGTGATTTTATCCATCAAAGAGAAAGTTTTACAATTCACTTTCGAAATAAAAACCTCTTCACAATGCAGTAATGCTTTTTTTTTTTACCAGCAGAGGGAGATGCTTTATCTGAAAAAGGCCAGAACTGACAGCTTACGCAAGCCAGAGCTGCAGTGTGAAACACCATGAATCAACGGTTGTCGACGGGGTGCCTTGACCCATTAATGCACGGCATATAATTCATCTGAAATAACAGATCAGCCTCCATGCATCAAAAACAGGCACAGAGCTGTCACTGAGCCGTTGCCATGGTTACAGGAACCCACCTTTGGGGATGCTTGCTGCTTTTGTTCATAGATTATCCGTCAAATTTATTGCTATCATGCACAAAGCAAAATTTATATTCATCGTCATATTAATCCACCACATAAACCATAATAAAGATCCTTAATATTAATTAAAATAATCCTCATCTAATATTCATATTCAGTCTTCATTATCCTTATACGTATTATCCGTATTATCATTAATCTCAATTACTGATAATATTCAAGGCAAGTGTCATGTAAAAGCAGGACAGGGATATTGGGAGGAAATCTTCAGCACAATTAGCATAAATTATGTATAATTTCCTGACTGTATAGGATTATGCTGCAACAAGTGTGATGGAGCATATTATAAGGTTATTTATCCCTCCATTTGCATGTGGACTATTAATTAGCCTCATAACATATTAATTAATTATCTATGCATTAGCATAACAGGGTGGGCAGATTTATGCAGGGCGAGGTGACCTTTATGAGCACATATGGATGCTAGCAGACACTATAGCAAAAAGGGCAAGAAACAGAGACAAAGAAGGAGGGAGATAGAAACCGGGGCAGCCGAGCAGTAAAACGGCTATTAAGAACTAGAGACAGGGAGGTTGTAATAAAGAAGAGGCAAAAAGAAAAGTGAACTCATTGCTTTTTAGTAGCATATACTGTATATTAAAATCTCCTTTCATGGTACAGCTAGAGCGGGTTCACATCCCCAAATGTTTTCCACAATTAAGCGTGATTATTACTGGTGGAAATGGCTTTTAATGCCTTCTGAAAGAGTACTATACTGAAACATGAAAGAACCTGCTTGTAATTGCGGTCAAATTATGCCATTATCTACATTGAGGTAGAATTACTATCTACAGTTGTTACGTTCAAATACCTCATGGTTGACGTACGGTTTGAGCATCACATAACTATGAACGCTTTTAACAAAATATGATGATGTGTTTCCACATTAATTAAAGGGGTCATATGATGTTGCTAAAAAAGAACATAATTTTTTGTATTTGGTGTAATGAAATGTGTTTATGCGGTTTAAGGTTCAAACACACATTATTTTCCACACACTGTACATTATTGTTTCTCCTCTATGCCCCGCCTTTCTGAAACGCGTTGATTTTTACAAAGCTCATCGTTCTGAAAAGCGAGGTGTGCTCTGATTGGCCAGCTATCTAGTGTGTTGTGATTGTCCAAATACCTCAAGCGTGTGACGGTGTGAAAATGTTAGTGAAAAGCGTGTGAAATGTTATGCCCCTCACCATATTGTGATGCCGTGTCCCGGAGCGACGAGACAAAACCAATAAAACCCATTATAAACGAGGCATTTGTTGCATCCAGTGGGGACATAATTACTGATTATAATGACTTATACTGTCTTTTT